ACATGCAAACAAGCTTTACACAATTTGCGATACGCTTTCAGTGTATAAATGTTTCAAAATGTGTACTCCTTTTTTGTTATTTAAGATATAAGATGTAAATTAGCAAGCTCTATAGATCACTACACCATTATTTCCAAGCTGACGGACTTGTAATCTTTATTTCTGTGGGCTGTGACCGAGTAAGGATCCTGTCCGCAATTAGCCCCAAGTCACCCACCCACCCGGCAATCGATGGGTAATTATAATTTGCGGATTTGGGGCCCGGCCAGCGCGTCACTGGCAGTCGCTCGCGTATGCAAAACGCTTGGTGACGAAAGTCCAGTCGGACAAAGATCAACGACCGGGCCAAAAATCAAAGCTGCGGTGCCAGCAGCAGGAGCCAAAATTAAAACCGAAACGGATTTTCGTTCGCCGCCTGTAAAAATAAATGCGAAACTCTTACAAATTCGTATTTTTGTTTTTATTAATTAAAAACGCTCTCTGCACTTGTGAAAAGCCGATTCTGCGACGCACAGTGTACCTTAATTTATTGTTTTGCTACACAAGTCTTTATTCAGTTTTTTGAAATCATTGAAATAAACAACGTAAAATACCTATACAAATTCTTAGAAATAAATTCATATTTCTTTATATTATATTTATATTATTATATTTTATATATTATATTATATTTCTTATATTTCTCTTCTCGATGAGAAAATAGTTTTCTTTTACTTTTGAGCTCTCTCACCGGTTGGTGAATGCTGTTCAAACAAGCTTAGATTGGAAATAATCACATGGTATGCCAAGTTTTTATATTTGTTGTTTTAAGCGATATCTTAATTGCAAGTACGTCAGTAATGTGTACACCATTTTTTTTTTTTGAATTTGAATTTGAAACACTGTGCGTCGCAGTCGCGCCCCTCGTAAACTTTGAAACCGGCCCGGCTTAGTTGTTTTTGTTGCTGCTCAAAAGCGCAAACGCCGGCAGCGAAGGTTCGATTTCACTTTCGCACGGTGTCCCCTCCCCCCTATCTCGCCACCCCCTACCCGCCCACCCCGCCCCACTCCACCCTTCGCCCAGGAGCTGGCCCATCTGGGGTGTCATGTTTTGAGCTCTTTACGAGCGGTGGCCGCTCTCACCTGCTTTCTTTCGCACAGAGCTGTGCTTTCGCTCTCGGATCTTCGATCTGTGAACTGCGATCTTCGATCTCGGATATCGCTCGCTATCCAGAGAAAATGATGCGCTTTTCCAGCAGATTCGAACAATCGATTCGTTTGAATCTGCATGGTAATCGACAGATATTTTGGCGCCACATGCAAATCCCACGGAAAATTGTTTTTACAAGCATGCACTGAGAAAAATGAAGTCAAATTAAGTCAGGTAAGCTGAATAATTTTTAATAATACGCCTTGAGTGTCCACAAGGACAGATTTTAAACTGATGCTTACAATTTACTTAACTGATACTGGTATTTTTAAAGATGCCAGGATTTCCCTAAATTGTAAGCCATATTTTTTCAAGTGCTGCTAAACTTACTAGAGTGCATACAAATGTCTTCAGCAGTTCGGGGAGTATATAAAGCGAATACAAAACAAACATCATGGAAAATCTTCCTGCATTACACAAACGCGGAAATTTTCCTCGTACTCGCACATTTCATGGGTTTTCCACAGCTCAACCTGCATTTTCATGGCATTTCCATTGATGTTTTCCAGCTCTTTTTCTTTCTGCACTCCCGTGTGTGAGTTAGCATGCGAAACTCGCAGTTAAATTAGTAGTTTTTGCCGCTGCCTAAGCTACAATTTTACACTGCGACTGTTTGGGGTTTTTTCTTGGCTTTGGTTTCGTATCGCTCTTCGCTTTTTTCCCCTTGCAATTTATAATTGAGTTGCAATTTGGCAGGCAACTATTTGTGGAATGCAGAGGGGCGCGGGGCGGCGTTTTCGCGGAACTTGCATGCGTATTAGTCATCAACTAACCGGGAAAAAAATTCGCATTGGTCGAAATATTTGGCAACAAAATGGGTGGTTAACCCGCCAAGCTGCTCTTGGGAATAAGTTAAATATTTTAATGGAAATTTATATAAGCTTTAATATATTATTTTCCCTTATTGTTCACTTTATTGAAGAAAAAACTATTATTTTATGCCTATAATGAATTCTTTTTTCCGTTCTTAAAATTCATATTATGTACTATACTTGAAATCCAGAATAAGCGTACTTTTCCTACAGGGGAAGAGTAATTTGGTATGTCCCTAACTATTTATAACATTAATAAGTAGACTGAAATGGTGCATTAAATCCATAAAATTAAAGGAATGAATGCCATACCCACTAGGCACTCAGGGGTTAAACAGAAGTATTATTAATATGCCATTTATAGCCTAAACAGAAGACACAACCCCCGATATTACACACAAACTTCGAAAGGAGAAAAAAACCTGGCACGACCAAAAGAAGGTACAAATCAAAACGCAGAATCAGAATCCAGGGCAAAAAGCTCGAAACTCAAAATCTTAAATCTGTGAAAATGTTGCCGCACGCGATCGAAACATTCGCATTTCATTTCCTTTTTATTTTATTTCATTTCAATTCATTTCGATTCATTGATACCGGGCCAGAAAAACAAGGGCGAAAAGAGCGGCCCAGTTCCAAATTAAATAATACGAGACCTCTGTTCCCTCGCTCCTTATTATTATTTTATTGTATTCCACCCTTTTTTTGCGTGCTGCGTTTTTTGTGTGAGTGCTCCATTTTCTTAGGAATTTCTGACTGCCTCATCCGCATCCCATGTCGCACGATCAATCGCAGTTTCAGACCTCCACAATCCTACGATCTCGATCGCAACTCGGATGGGATCTTATCGGATCGGTATTGGGACGCGATGGATTCACTTTCTATTTTCAAGGCAGCTGAATCCTTTTTTTGACGCCGGGGGCACGTGCCTAGAACTACCGATTTCACCGCTTTCCTTTGGATTCTCGGGTTACCTCTCTTAACGCTTAAATTAAAGTGCAGTGAATGTTGTTAATTTTTGATTAAGTCACTTAATCATCGGTTGCTCTACTAGGCAAATCCGACTTTCAGCCAGGTGTCCAGGTGTAAGATGGAATGTATGATCACAACTGCGCCTTACTTTTCCTTTTCAACTATCAGGATCAGCTATCAGCTGCCACTTTTTAGGGGGCGGCGCGTGCTTTCTTCACTTTCGTCGGCTTCTCGGGTTACCCGAGTTACCCGAGTTACCCGAATCCACCGCTTACCCTTTCGGCGCGCCTCACCTTTGGCCCTCGATGGCCACGCCCCCAAGTCATTAGGGCGCACACTTACGGATAGGCGGATATTGATTTCGCTGGGTTGGCTGGCAGTACGCAGCGCTTTCCAGCCGATAATGATGACATCTGTGTGTGCCCATTGTGTTTCACTTTTCATCAAACTTATATTAATAAGTTGAAGCGAGGGGCCATAATTAAAGCGAATTCGATATTTCCGGCCGGAGGAAAGACATTTGGTTCACTGAACCCAATAAAAATCCTTGAACTCGCGTCGCCAGACGAAATACAAAATATTTGTATACATATGTATTGCCAATAATCTATTTCAAACAAAGACCAGCTCAAATATGAAAGAAAAAACTAAGTTAGAGCAGCGTCTGCTGCCCTTTTGGCGGCACCCTCACAAAATTATTGACCAGAGTTCCATCCATCTCGAGCAGGAAAAAAAGCAGAGACCCACAGAGAGAAAAATTCAATCAAAGTCATTTATAGATAGCAGTCGGTTATTTGTCTTGAGGTCTCTAAAGAATAGTTTACAAATATATATTATTATGGTTATATGATTACTTTCATCTTTAGATGCGCTTCGTCACTACGTAGACGGTTGCCAATAAGGTTATATCCTTCACTACAAACAGGGCTTCAAAACTAAATAGAAAGCAGTTTTTCACCGTGCCGAAACAGAGGACGTTAAGTTGGACTTGATGGACTTGTCCGTCTCGTCGGATGCGAGATTCTACCCAAATATTTCTGCTAGAAGGGAGAGGACTTCTGTGCGGTTTGTCGACGGGGTTTTTGCAACGGCTTCGGCTTCGGCTTCTGCCTTTGCTGACCGACACACACTCACTTTTCATTCTAATCGACATGCGGCAAAACATATAATTCGAATTTCTGATATTTCGCCCGACCATTTTGCGGAGAAAATTGCATTTAAACGCCTATTATGCGCTTTTTATTTGCAACCCATACTTTTCTGCCCGAGTGCTCCGGCTGACTCAGTCATGCACAAATACAGATCATTGTATAATCATTGTGCATAGCACTAGGGTTCCATTTTGGAGGCTGGCTAGCCGTGTCAACTGGTCACTAGGCTTCCTGCCTTTCGGGAGTCAATTAACCGAACTCGTAAAATCGTTAGCAAATGAAATAAATTGCGCTCAATTACACCGAGTGACATCCAAGGCGCATCGCTGGTGATTGACCTCTTTCAATGCGACATTCTTGGCTCGATTCGGCTGGGAAAGAGGGGGAAAAACAAGCAACACGGCTCTTCGGTCAGATAATGAACTTCATATACACTTGCATATAGTATACCCGTTCAGCCCCGATACCCGGATTCTCGGCCATCGGCAATCGGCTATGCGCCATGCACTTAATCAAAAAGTACGACAAAATCAAGAGTAAACAAAAGTGCAGCGCAGAACTCGACTGGAGAACCGGCAGCGATTCGAGCTTCAGCCGGGAGCAATGAACACATGATCCGACAAAACATCCAACAAAAATTTAAATCTCAGTTACCCCACTTATGTGTTACAATGCACTGGAAAAATAGGGGCCACCACGCTGGACGAAAATAAGTTGCTAATTAAGCGATGACTTTAAATGTAAAGGTTGTTTCGCAAGAGGGGAACTGCAACGTCTTAGATCTTAGATTTCAGATCAGCGATACATAATCAGGGTTATTGGGTACTACCCTACTTATAACAGAATCTGTCAAAAAAGTTTATAAAGTGTCCTTTGGTTCGTCTGTCAGACTTGTCAAGCCGATATACCTGTGCGTAGCCGATTTAGTGTCATTATTATTTGTTCTTTCGGCCTGAACACATCAAAATTTGTTGTCTAGTCTCAAATTATTTCTTTTGTTCGGTTCAAAGTGAGTAAAAATCAGTGAATACTTACAGAACACCACATGTGTGAAGCATTCCAACGGTGTACCATTTGAACGTCCCTTTTTCCGGCAGAACTTCTACGGATTAATCATGTGTTGCGGACCCTGTGGACCCTGCTGCGGACCTTGCTGCGGACCCTGCTGTGGTCCATGCGGACCATGCGGAGGAGGATGTGGACCCTGCTATGGACCGAATGTCTGCGGACCTTGCTATGCCTGTGGACCCTGTGGCGGCTGCTACTGTGGATATCCTTGCTGCTAGATGGTGGCAGCTGGGCAGCTCCAAGGAGGGTCCACCAGATACGATAGGATCGAGGCCGCCCAACTTGCATCTGGTATTCATCTCATATTCGTGAACCACTAGGAAGTATTTGAGACAATAAAACGGTTTGATTTTTGATTAGTAACGTAACGATGATTACGTTGGGATCTCCAATGGAGGATGAGCGGTTGCCGAGCTTTGTGCAAAATGCATAGCCAGATATGTGATTCTAGAACGGAGATACAGATGCTTAGAACCAATCGCAGTCTTCTAATGCGATGTGGTCGACCTTGACGTTTCGCCGAGAGTTTATTGTCCTTTCAATAGAACACGCTAAATAAAACTTATTTAGGCAGTACATACATATTTACCTCGCACACAGGCATGCATATTCTTATACAGTTTTTGTATTTTCATGTTGAATTTTTTTTTTGTATTTTTATTTTTCACTTTTGGGTATATCTACTGCACTAATTCTGCGACGAACTAGTTTCGGCACAGCGGATTCCGATTCCTGAATTCCGAGCAATACTAAACGACGGCGAAGCGCAAAAAGACAAAGTGCATATAAAAACGTATTTAAATTTACCCGACAGTCGCCGATCCCCTGGAGATATCCCCTACCCCTTTTGGCCACATTTCTGCCCAACTCCAGCCAATCCGAACCCATCATCAGCTGACTGGATCTACGCGCGCGCCTTTTTAATTGCATCGTTTTTATTTGTGCGACTTTATGCAAATTAAACAAGTTCCCTGCCAAAATATTGCTGCTCGCGTTGATTTGCTGCTGTCTGTATTTGCCTTAAATTATTTATTTGTGTGTTGTGTGGGACTTCGTGGGCAGTCGGTGTAAGTAGTTTGGCTGGGTGCTGGTGGCTGGTGGCTGGTCAAAACGCTTTGTCTTGGCCGCCCAAACCAAAATAAGGCGAACAAAAACAGAAACCAAATACAAACAGCAGCTGAAACCAAACATGTTTCATGTTTCTTGGGCGGGGGAATTTTTCTATGTATGCTCGCCAGCTGATATTATTGACTAGCTAAATTGCCGATAATTAGTTCGACTTTGAACTTGATTTAGAGCTTGTTTGAAGCCGCTCCAGCAAATGTGTCAATACTCGACTGCGGGTTCTTTTGGGGGTTCATCGGTTTTCCGACCGATCCGTCCAAAGAACACAGCCCTCTATCACGTGTCGTTAGTTTGGGAACTCGTATCAATCAAACAAGATTTAGGTGCGTTAACTTCAGTCAAGCCACTGTGGGGTAAAATATTCGCATTAAATTAAGGCAGGAGCCATTTGTGTCAGCCCTACAAGTTTTTCCGAAAGATTAAGACTGATTTGAAATTGCGCAACACATCGGATGTGTATTTTATATATATTTATATTTCTGGTCAAGTTTCAATGACAAGATCCATTCCAATATAGTATGTAGTACTGGTATCATTCGAAATCAGCTCATGCAATCACCCTATTCTCCTGCGCTTGTTATCCAATTTCCAGGCTCTTTTTCAGTGGGTAACTGGCACTGAGTTTCCCCATTCATGCCCCAATTGCAACCCAGTGGCTTGGTTCAGCTTAGAGCGTTTCATGATCATGACTAAGGTCAGATTCATAAAAACCGCATAAACTAGACCCAATTTAGTTGACAAACACACACGAAAACGCCGCGCGAAGAAATTAAAAGCGAAATGGAATTGTTTGTGCAAAAGCCGCCGATTCGCGGGCGCGGGGATCCCAAGTGCTGAGGGTGCCCCATTTGCATAGACATTTGCACGTCGAGGTTTGCGGTTTTGGGTGTCCAGAGGCGTATCGGATGCATTATGGAGGCCCCCTACACCGCGCGAAAAACGAGTATCTGTCCATGTTCCAGTCGAACTTCTTAATGGAGCCCCATGTAGTGATTGACTCTTTTCATTTTCACAATTCAATTGTAAGAACTACTTTTAGTTCATAAATCTGCTATAATTTGAATGGTAAAACGGACGGTGGGGAGTAACTTGCAAAATAATGGCATATGAATCCTTTAGATACTTTAATAAATGTTGCTACTACTTACTGCTCTTAACTGCAGTTTTGTTTTCTCTAAGACCTGAGCTTTTTCCACGCTGTATTAGATAGCGAGTGAGGCGCTTCCATTTTCAAGGGTTCGCCTTGTCTGGCGGCTCGGATTAGCCGCTTCCACATTGAACTTGAGCTCTATCCCTCTCCCAAGACAATCCGAGTCCGAATCCGAATCCGAATCCAAATCCAATCAGGTTGTGGGCCATTGTTGTTGCCGGATCTGGATCTGGTGCACTAGCGCATAAATCATGCGCGTCCGATGAAATCACGTGTTATAATTAGACCGATGCATTTTCACTTTCCACCAGCCGATCCAACCAAACCGAAGCGAAGCTATCTCAAATGTCCGCATCCGCATCCGCATCTTGGGCGACTCAGGGTGACAGCTGAAAATCGTGATATTTGATGGTTGTATCTGAATCCGTCTCTGTATCTGAATCTGTATCTGTATCTGTGTCTGTAGGTGTATCTGCTGAGCATTTGATTTGACCGGGAACGGATTGGAGCCCCATTGAGCCATCAATGGAACGGATTGCCCGATTGTCCGATTGCCCGTAAAGTGTCGTTCATTACGACCTCCTGTTGTTGTTGGCGGTGGTCCAGCTCTTGATTCTTGGCTCTTAGCTACATTGTAAGCTCTTTAAAATATGCAGCGCGCGATACTCCAGCGCACTCGGAATGGATTGGATTGGATCGGATCGGATCGGATGGAATCCACTTGGCACTCCACTCCGCCGGGGCAGCAGGTTGACCATGAGAACATGTTATTAAATTACTGTAATAATGTATTAAGTATGTAAGAATGCTACCAATGTTAATATGTAATAATAATTGTAATGCCCAGGCCAGCCAGCAGTATGTACATATGTACTTATATACCCATATGACCGATCTACTCGACTTTGCTCGACACTCTACTACTTCTACGCACTCCGAGTCCAGCGCCCATTTGACATTTCCATTTTGAGTTCCATGAAAGTGCTAATAATGCACTTATGTACACGTATTGCCCGGGGTTGATTTCGATGTATCGCTGATATATAGACAATTTATGGTGCCTTCATTTGCGTCACTTGATCGCAACTGGGCTGGGTTTTGGTTTTGGTTTTGGTATTGTTTTTTTGCGAGCCACCCATAAGCTGTTTGAGTGTATAAATATACTCGTATATTCGGAGGCGCTAAACCAGAACTTTTGGAAAGGTGCCGAAAACCTACTTAAATTGTTCGAAGCACTAATATTTCTAATATAATCGTTTAAGATTGCTGTGTTGTTCTCTGATTAGCCATTAAAAATGGTTTTTGTAAGATCTAAAAATACGACTTTGTTCAATTTTCATAGAACTATGACGATTCCCCCCACTTATTTATTTGGTTTTAAAATCCTAAAAAAAGACTTCTTTCAAATGGACACTACTATTATTTACGAAGTTCAATGCTATTACGTACATAAGTCCCTTAATTATATGCAAATGGTCGGATGGCTTTCGTCAAGACAACCTGATAAAAAAATATGTTAATTAATTGTTTCCCCTTTATTATTATTTTTTGCCAAATATTCCCGGGAGCGCATTTGTGTCTTCTTCTTCTGGCTGCTGATTCGTGTGTTATGCAATCAATTCGATAATTTCAGCATTTCTACAATAATACAAGTAAAAAGTCAAGGATATGCATATCCAGTTTAAATCGCACGATTTTCTGGATTCTGGATTTGCGGACTCTGCCAACGAGTCAGACTTGTAAATAAATCGAATTGTTGTGTGCGTCGGCGTTCAGGCATTTAATTAATATCACTTTCTTATAAATGGCCTCAAATGACGTTGAACAATTGCTGCCAGGTCTTGCCCCAGGCGTATTAAGTATCTCAATTAACGGCGTCAGATGTAAGCGGTTCGTGCGGATTTTGATATCTTTCGCTGGCATATTATCTGTGTATTTGCACGATGGCCAATAGTAAACAGTCCGCGTCTGGGCCCGGTCAGCAGTCGATCATTAAACATTTATAAACAAATTATGTCAATTTGTATGTAAACACGAATCGGCTCAAATCGCACCGAGTGGCTGGCCATCGAATGCAGACGTGTTAAGAGTTAAGAGTCGCCTTTGGGCCGCAAATATTCGATTGCAACTTACAACTGGCACTTTGCACTCGAATCGGCTTATCGGAATCGATCGCAGACGGAAAAAAATCCATAGTTGGCATTGTCTGATATTTTAGGAACTTTCGATTACAAATTGAACGATCAAAAAATATAGTATTATAATTTGCAAAGAAATCGCATCTAACAAACTTTTACGATCTTAAATCTGTGATAGATTGAAGTCAGCAATTTCCCCATTTCATGTATGCGTATAGGGAAATCTTCAACGGAAATCCTATCGAACTTCGACCCCAATTGTTTCGCGCAGTGCATCTGCTCGCTCTCAGCTCAAAGTTTCAGCGTCGCGTCGCGTCACCGTCAACATTTAGTTTGGCTTTGCATTTTGTTACTTGAGCTAAATTACAGCGCATGAAATACGGAAGTTGTTATTGTTGTTGTTGCTATTACGGCATTGATTGCAGCCTGCACTTAGCGACAGAATGAGACGGGCGAGTGGAACGCAGGGGGGCGAAGGGGGCAGTTTTGACCGCGGCCAAAAGGGCGTGTGTGTTTTGGCCCAAAGTTGTATGCTGCTAATTTTGATTTATTGCAAATCGCCTTTTATGTCGTTTTTATCTCCGTAACGCTTCCTGTTCTCCATCAGATCGGCAATAGACGAGTATCGAGTGCATGTGTGTAACTATGACTAGGCGTCTTTTCAGATACGAATCTATGCGATACTTTGCGATCCGATCATTGAGCTTACTGATCTCAAGCTCGCGCACAGCGCGTGTTGTTTGATATTGAACTTGGCTTTGAGGCGAAGTCGAGTGTGGCACGAGTTCTGTTACTCGCCTTATTCTAATTTATATCTAAATTATTAAATGTTTATTTATGTTGTCAGCGAGCGGCTTTGTCCGCCGTAGGTGGTAACTGTAACAATGCGGGAGTATTGGCGTTTTGGAGCTGTTTGGCGCATTTTGTGCATTAAACGCCTTTGGGCCATTTGCATGGCTATTGAACGGGCTTATGCAAAAGCCAAACTTTTTATGCGACACATGCCATAAATGGGGTGATTGCCCCCCTGTATTTTCGCGCAGTGTCGCGATCGTGAGCATGTGTAATGTCAAATTAGTGACTCGTAAAGAGGAAGTAATAAATCTGAAATGCTGTCAGTGATAAACTCAATAATATGTAATAATATTTTCTGACTACATTTCTATTGGCAGAGAAATAGATAATGATATGCATTTGTGCAGTCTTTCAAAAACTGCTTAATTATAACTAGGACCCCACCATCTATTGTTAACTAATTTGCTTAATCCGAATCGAAAATGATTGCAAGTGTTCCAACAAATGAATATTATAGCTTATTGCTAATAAATATACATTTGATATTTATTCTAATTTAATCGGCATTGACCGCTAACTAGATCATTCAGCTCCAAAATATTCCCATGTAATTGGTTTTAGCTCCCCGATTTACGTCATGTTCCGGTTTCTGAGTGTATTTCTTCCCAAAAAAGAGTCCCGGGGAAATAACAATAAACAATAAGCGAGGTGAAATACTTGTTTCGCTTAATATGCGATACAGTAATTAATTGGTGGTAATCTGTGCAACAAAGAAGTATAATAAATATAGGAATAATATGTGCCAGGAATCGTCTGGCGTGGTCCCAAGACTATTGGGATACAAAATGCACAAATACGCTTTCGAAACCGCAATTTATTTGAAGCTGGGTTAATTAAGTGCATTCTGTTTGCCAGCAAGCAGACGGGTTTCGCTTTGTTTAATGAGTGCGATAGGAATACTTTCGGTCCAAACGCTCGTATTGTTTAAGATTTAATTTCAATCTCGATTTATTCAGACAGAGGACTTGCATTTAATGTGTTTCTCACCTGCTAGTCTCAAGGTCGCACCCCCTTTTTATGTCGAATTAAACGTCGCGACTACTTCAATGTTAGCTGGAAGTAATGGGTTAATCGGGGCTGGGTTTTCGGGCATTCCTGGATGGACAATGACTGGCAGGAAAAGGGCCAAGTTCCCGAGCCACTTAAGAGTGTGATTAATCACAGTTGAGTGTTGCTATCAATTTTAATTTCATTATAAAAGTTTACATTACCATCGACGATGGCCGGCAAACAAAGGCCGAAATCCAAGACCCAAAAGAAGCACATGACACCTCAAACAAAAAATGAAAATAAAAATAAAAAAAATAATGAAAATAAAGAAAAAATCAACTGAAGCGGCAGACGAAAACCTTTCGAAGAAGAAGCTATGTGCTATGATACCATAATCCACGAATAAAACTAAAGAAACTCAGATACACACCTCTACAAACACACACACACACACACACACACAAACACAGCAACAAAAAAAGCTCACAAATAGTTCAATGAACTTATATTTGTTGTATGTTGCTATGCTGTAGAGAGCCAGCATAGCCCCGTCTCTTTCGCTCTCTTTGTGTAAGTGTGTTTGCGTATTTATTTATGTTTTATTTTTATTTGTTTCGTCTATTTGGATTCACATTTTATGTGCCCACAAGGTGGGAAATATTCCAACCGAAATGCATTGAAAGCTCACTCGAAAGATACACTTGTATCTTATGGATACGTAGCCCAAAATTAACATTTTAATGATCGAAATACATTTACATTTACAGCGATCTTTTCGTTTCTTTGATCTGCATTTGATTTTCTCCACTCTCGTGTGCCATTAAATATTGTCACGTAGCCACCGACTCTCGTTCTTCTGGATTTTGTGGCTTGAATGAATTTTGATAGCCACTTGCAGGTTGAAGTTGCCCACAGAAAGAAGACTAAATATACATTTTCACATGCCTCTAATGAAGTGTGAATAATCCCATTTTGGGGCCAGTCAGTAAGCAAAACGTATTTAAGCTTAATTGTTATGCTGATAGAGGAGGCGCTAGATGGATTGGTTTCAGCTTCAGCTTCCAAAAAAATTAAAGGGAAAAACAAAAGGCGTACAAGAGTCCACCTGACAGGTGTACAAGCACACAGGTAGCCAGCTTTTGGTAACAGTGTGTGTGTCTTTTGGCCAGCTCACGTTTCGTTTGCTGCCGTCTGGGGAGCTCCGAGCTTAAGAGCTCTTTCTGTCTGTTTTGGCCAAATACTTTGATATTTTTACATATAAAACAATTATGAGTTATGCCGACACCTTCAGCAGGTCGAACTCGCATTACTCTAATGGACTTGTAACAAGTTTTCTTGGGGAAAAGTACATTAAATACATTACATCTACATCTTATTCTAAATTGTGAAGTTTAATATTCGATTTATTAATTAAATTTTGAAAAATATTCGTAGATCATTTCCAGGTCTCAGGTCAAGCAGCTACTGAGTATCAAACCTAGAAATGATATATATGGTGCATATGGTTAAAAAGGAAATATTATATATGTATTTAATTTCCAGCTGGTACCCCATGTACCCCATTCAAGGGCTCCGCGCTGCCAAAAACAATGTGTAATAGGTTTTTAATTGAATTGTCGCAAATCGGCGAACTTGGCTGCTTTCGAAGTTATTTTCGTTTGATTTTACTGCGGACCGTAGGCGCGTGCGTTCGACTTTGGGTGCTATTAATTAATTGTCATGTGCTTATTTCTATTACACAATCTAGCTGCCAGTGGGCGTGTGGGCTAGCGCTAGCGTGAGTAGAGATGCTGAGACTGAGACAGAGACTAAAAACTGAGGAACAGCGAGTTACGCAATTTATTTGTTTAGTTATTCGCCGGGTTTGCACAGGTGCTGCGCCACCCCTCGCCTTCCGCCCACTGCTGACGTCACTGATAGTGGCTACAAACACAAAACAGCCGTCAGCAACTAAGTACACGAAACGCTGCCAGATATCAGATATTTTCGCTCGCCAAATGGCACAGGCTGCGCAATTGGTTAACTTGGACTTGGCCAACAAGCCTAAAGTCAGTGCCAAGCAATGAAAATTGCAACGTGTTTTGGCATTAGACGTGAAAGTGGCCAAGTGAGTGGGTGACTTTTTTGCAGGGGGCAGCATATGTGAATGCGAATGCGAATGGGAATGGGAATGGGAATGGGCTTTGAAGAGGAGAGGGTAAGACGGCCCACACCAAACGTCAGCATTTGTTGGCTTTTATGGCACGTAATTTGCAATTGGCAAAACCAAGTCCAAGACATTTTGAACGCGACTGTCTCTTTGGCCGCTGGCAAACTTTTCACTTTTCATTCTGCGCTTTTCCACCTTCTGCCATTTTTCCATCCAACGTACGTGCCCCACGGTGCATATTTTGGCCCGTTGGCCTATTAAGTCCTGGGTTCTTCTTGGCCGCGGGCCAAAGTCTGCATTGAGTGCGGGGAAAAACCAAAACCCCGCCCTATGCTGTTTCTATAAAGGCAGGCGACCCATTTTGCCTGCATATTGCGCATACGCCCTGTGGTAAAGCAAATGTAATCCACTTGATGACTAAGGCCACGTTAAGCCGAAATTTTAAATCTGACACGTGAATCGTCGCAAAACTATGCGAAACAAGTTCAAAAATATTTTAAATATTTGTCTTCTCTCTTTTTCCTTGTTGCCTTTGCCAAAATAGCAAAGCAAGAAAAAAAATATTTGCAAATTAGGAGAAACTATAATATTTTTGAATGTATCTATTTTGAAGGGAGATGAAACTGAAACTGAAACTGAAACTGAAACTGAATATATAACAAAAGGCACTTGTCTGGGTGAAATTTTCACTAGATATTCAAATGAACCAACAACAACAAGTGTGGCTGCTGCCTGAACAAACAAACAACAACTAACACAAAAACGGAAACCGTTAAAGCCAAAAAAGACAACAACATCAAACGTAAGTTTTGGAGTCGCTTTCAAATGACGCACTGAAAGAAATTTGATGCGCTTGGATCGGTGTGAACGGATTCAAGGATCTCACTCAAATGTGCAGCTACTAATTGAAAAAGAAAAATCTTCATTTCATGGTAATTCTTGTGATATTATATGGCATCAGTTTACTTATTAAGCAAACTAATATAATAACTACCAAAGCAAAATGAGACCAGTTAAGAAATAGAGGTGATATAATTTGAATTAGATATATTCGCTGAAGATCCACACTATTTCCCATCCCTGAGGCAACGAATAGGTTCCAGGGCACCCCAATTTTTCCGCAGTGTACCGCTCGTTTGCGCTGATGTTGCTGCTGTTGATGAGGCGTGCTCCGTTGTTTACCCCACTTGAAAGCGACTGAAGATCAATGGGTTGTATGACCAAGAGCAAGACCAAAGTTGCTTGTGTTGGTCTACCACTTTCGTTGATACTGATGTTGATTTTTGTGTGTGTTTTCGTTTCCAAGACGCCGCTAGAGCTTTGAGCGATTTTTCATTGGAATAGAAAGTGAATTGAATTTGTTTTCGCTGGCGGACTGCGCGTTCCATTGCTCTTGACGTTGTCGTCTTCATCGGGGTGCCGTTGTTTACACTGAAAACAACGCACGGTCGAACGGAAAGCAGATGCTCGCTGACACGCAGACAGTCTTCTCTCTGCACTCTTCAGTCTTCAGTCTTCAGTCTTCAGTCTTCTGGAAATTGGACCATGTCATTGACCTTTTCGCCTCGAGTTGCCCCAAAAGCAGTGAGAGTGCTTGTTAGTTGTTTATCTTTCGGCTGAAGTTGTTGTTTCTTCCGCTCGAGGAAAAGCGGCAGTGAAAGAGAAGCTTTTGTGGCACTGCTCGTGGACTTTACTCGAATGCAATTATTGGTGGAGGTGATTGGGCATCCGTGAAGTTTCCAGATGGTGACGGGAAAATTGTAGAAAATTCGGCGGAGAAAACTTACCATCCGATTTGTTTGATTTCAAAAGATTTTATAACGAAAGGGGCTAGGTTGATTGGAATTGTTGTAACAGCTAGGAAAAATATGACGCATAGTAAGCAGCTCTTGTATCACATTGGAATGTTTTTAAAATAATTATTCAAGCACCATTGACTCCCGAAATAGAAAATATCAGTTCAATTGAAATGTCTTTATTATAATTATAATAAACATTAACTACTTTATGAAGCTGTTAATTGTGTTATATACAACCACAAACAACTTTGATGACTTAGAGTCTTAGATTTAATTTAACTAGAATTTACAGCAAAGCTCAGCTTTTCGAGCCAACTTATGTAGTCATTTCATGCCAATTTTTGGATACCACTAAGGGTAGCTTAATAAGAGAATATAATAGTTTTCCCTTTAATGAAGACCAGAGAGCTGTTTACGTCCCAGATTGACTTGACATCCACTGTCGCTTTCTATTTGTGGTGTCTTCTAGCGTTTTCCAATGCGGAACCGCCGATCCACGGGCTGCAGTCTGCTGACTCGATTTCTTTTACCAAAATACCAAAATGTGTAAGTTGAACGCGGAGCGGCGGCATCGAGCCAATGGGTTTATTCACCTTTCGCCTAATTATCAAAATACATAGGCGGAGTGTACCAGAAAGCGATGTATAGCATACATACTACAAGATACAGATACATATATATGTGCAAAAGCTTCGAGCAAACCAAGCCGATCCGATCCGATCCGATCCGATGACGAAGACAGCAACTTCAATGAAATCAATTTTACGATAATAACTTTTGGGCAGAAACAAAGACCAGTGAGGCCTGCGAATCGAAAAGCGAATTCGATTCCGAATCCGAATCCGAAGCCCTGCCGATTCATATATAAACATTGATTCAGACCCGGCCAGCAGCTCATGTACCGTTGGAAATTTCTTACCTTTTCTTTTTCTTTTCTCAGAGCGCTGTGTGTAAATTTTGTTATTTTGTTTTGTATGTGTGTGTTTTGTTGCTTTTTTTCGTTGTTATTGTCTTGCACGAATGTAGGTCAAGTTATACGTTCGCCAGTATGCGTGTGCGTGTGCGTGTGAGTGTGTGTGTGTGAGTGAGTATCTGTGTGTGGGACGTTGGGAGCTGCAAGTTGGATCCGGGGGCGGCACTGAAGGGGTCTGTCATCCCATCCCGTCGCACTCTGAATGACTGACTAAAAGTCGGGCGATGAGTCCGTGGCAGCGACAGCATTTTCTAGTAGCTCCATACCGGCCAACTTTCACTTAGAAAGTTCTGCTTGCGGTTATGAGGAATCGGTTTTTCGTTTGCTCGTTTAATTTGGATACCCTTGCCGAGCGTCTTGGGCTCAGTTTGTTTCCAGAATTGGCACTTCACTATGGCGCAGAAGAAAGCGAGGAAGACAGACTCTTCCTTTCAAGAATTTTAGTTAGTAAGTTCGGCGATATAGTGTACAAACAAGAAATATATTAATTTTGATGAGGTAAAAAACTGTGGTTTAACTGGTAAAAACACAATATCAGATGACTCATATCAACAATATGACGACTCAGATTCAAGAAGCCTTTGATTTTACAGGGTATTCAGAGTGTCGCACAACTTTCTTCGCCACTGCCTTGTGCTGGCTGCTTTTTTCGCTTGGACATGAGTTGGCTTATACCCATTCTGTGGCTGAAAGCGATATTCATTCATATCGGCGACAACAAGTTAACTGGGTCACCGCGCGTGTGGGTTCCTGGGAAGATTTGATTGCAGGCGGGTCAATCGAATCGGATCAGCGATGATCGCCCAATTGCATTTTCAATTCGAATCGGCAATCGGGTGGGAAAGCTCTCCGTTAGGCGACGTCATCAGCGCCGGCCGCGCAGCAACCTTGGCGATCAGCTGTTCGTTGCGAGTGGATTTCCCTGAACTTCATACTGATACTGAAAAGCTATGTGCGCGTGTCTATTAATAGCCTCTCTCGTTTTCCGCCGCTCTCTGTCGAAAAATGTACTCTGCGTCTGTTGGGGAACTTCCTGCTGGAAAAACCAGCTGGCGGAGGCAGAGCGCGTGAAAAGCTCGGTGCTCTCTTAAGTGGAAAACAGCGGCAGCGATCTGGCACTCTCTTCGCCTCTCTCAGAATCACAAGTTCTCGGCTGTAGTTGTTGTGCTATTGTTGACCTAATCACTTGTGGAGCACAAACGAACATTGAACTTTTACTTCCGCATTAGTATCAAGATTCCGTTCGAGATTCGCTCTTTCGATTGTCCGGATAACATTTTTGCACTAGGAAATGCGTTTTTCTTTACCCCCCCTCGCGGTTTTCCATTTTTATTGATCATTTCCAGGCCGCTTGGCCGCCGGCGACCGCCCAGTGACATTAATTAATGCCCACAGATTCATCAAATATGCGCTGGCCGTTTGGAAAATCATATTTTACGCTCCCCCGGCAGCAATTTGTCCGCGGCGGAGCCCCAAGAGATCTGTGTTCGTCTGTGTGTGTGTGTGTTTGTGTGTGTGTGGGCATGTATCTGTGTATCTGGAAAATCTTGTAATTTAATGCGACAATTTTTTGCTGCTAGCTGGTCCATCCATATACCCATCGATCGATGGAAAATCCTCCGGCAAATGGAAGAAAATGCACTCAAAATGTTCAATTTTAAATATGGTTTTCATTTAATATTATATTTAAATGGGTGTGAGAGGTGTGTGTTTGGGGTCTCTGGATGTCGGTCGAAGGTGTGGACATATAAATAGCTTAAAACGCTTAAGATCTAAACAAAATTTCTCGCTCCGAATGGTTTTCCTTGCTCTCAACGAGAGAGAAGAGAAGAACATTACAAATCGTTGGCAATAAATAAATGATAATTTAAACAAACGAAGATTTTCTCGGGAAATATGACACTAAACGTAATACTCTTTGCGTAATCTTTTCCACTTTGAAGAAGCAATTACAAGTGTATAGTATTTATATATAACATATATGGTGTATGTGTGATACGATATAGGATATAGGATATGTGTGTGCGCGTTTCGGTGTTTTGTGAACAGCAATGAACAGTATTTAATTTAAATAGAATGATAATAATAAATAATTAATATAATAGGTATGGGTAGGCTACGCAAAAACTACATAAATACAAAAGTCTGCATCGCAGGGCTCCGCTCCCGGGGAAGCCCCCATCCCCAGCTTTCTCCTCCGCCGGCAGCTGGAAGTCTCCTCGCGGCCACGAACGCGCAACCAGCGCGCTCCCCCAATCATGCCCAGAGTTTTGGATAAGGCACGGGCTTTGTGGGGTCCTCGAAAGTCGGGGGATCAGTGCCTAGTACTGCCCGGTTGGATCCAGGCAGTCCTGTCGCCTCTTTTGGCGGGAGTCCTGCGCGTCGCGGGGTCGCCGATAGGTTCCAGTGGGATCCAGCATTTTGCAGGATTGTATTGTATTTTTGGGGCTCTTGAAGTAGGGATAGGATTTCTCCTGGCAGTAGCCTTCTATGCTTGGCTAAGTGGAGCTCTCGAGGTAGAACCTTAGTAGGTGCCAGTGGGGTCCAAGTCGTGCGACATTTTGAGACTGTTTTCGTTCACTTTCGGCTGGAAACGCAAAATACAGCTGCTTCTTCTGGCTTGCTCCTTCTTCAGTACTGACCAGTGGGATCCAGATAGGCGGCCATGGCGAAGATCTGTGATTTATTGGGTTCGCTAAAGAGGTCTGCGATTACGATGTTTTGCTGTCTTCGTATAGGTATAGCTTCTTCAGTACTGGCCAGTGGGATCCAAGTAGGCTGCCATTTCGAATGCCGTGTATTGACCAAAAATACTTGAATGACAAAACCGAGCTGGCTTTTTGTTGCTGCTGCTGCTGCTGTCGATTCTCCTTTGTTTAATTTAAAACAACGCGATATTGAACTTTATACTGGTTCTCGCCGCTGTTGTTGTAAGTTCTTTTATTATCACCACCAGTTGTTGGGTTTCTTGGCTGATTATACAGTCACGTTTGGATGTGTGTTTGGGGATTTTTTCGTGCGTTCAAGAGTCACTGACACCACAAATTTGTTGAATGTTTGTTAATAATGTTTAGTTGTTTCGGGAACCGCACGGAAAATCTTGAAGGCGTTACGTGAAAATCTGCGCACTTTTCTGACGTCTCAGCTGGTTTTCTTTTAGCTGGTGATCTGCACTCGTCGAATGTTGTCGATCTTTTGATTTGATTTTCGTCAAGTCGTAAGCTTAAATGCTCGACCGGCTCGACGTCGCAGCCGGCGTCGCAGTCGGGGGCTCCAAGAGCGGGAGCGAGTGCAAAAGAGAGCGCTATACGGCAGGTGCGCCGCGCTCTTAATGGCACCTTTCTCTTCGGAGAGTGGGTGAGAGCGAGTGGGGAGATGATCACGATCGTATTTTCATTCATTTCCAGGTAGAGCACTTCTCGCTTTCGCTCTCTCCGCTCTCGCTCTCGCGCACTCTCGCTCGCTCTGTCCACATCCACCTGGATTTCATTCACGAAACAGCTGTTTCTGATCGAGTGCCCTCGTTCTGCTCACACACCAGGTGAGTGTGAGAGTGTGCGCGCGTGTGTGAGGCCCTTGTCTGTGTGTGTGCGTTGGAGGAGCTCAGGTAGGAACTATCCTGGAATTCCATTGGTCCTTGGATTCTCAGACTGCGATCCTGAGGCAACAGACTCCACCTTCTTTTGAGGTCCGCAGCTAATTAGGGCCTATCTTATGGCCAAATTTAGTTTAGTGCAAAGTGCACTTGAAAAAAATGTGTTCAAAGTAAGTATCTCCTTGTTAATGAAAGAAGGTTTCCAAGGAAAAGTGGGGAATTGATTTTCCCGAAAGGTGCAGAGATTGTGCAACGGTACAACAAAAAGATCTGGAATATTGGCTTACAACATTTCCTCAATACATTTATTTAAAAGGTTAATATTTTCGAGACTCTAATAGACCATTCACACGAATCTTCTTTGACTATCGCAAACTAAAACGTTTGAGAAGCAAAAGATAATTGCAATATACCATTTCAGAAATAACTTTTAACTTCATAAAAAATACCAATTTATAACATTACTGATTTGCTTCGCACGTGAAAATGCCTGGCAATTTTCAGAAACGGATTACATATATAATAGTATAAATTGGACATTCTTAAAAACACAGCAGGAAAAACGAATACAATTTTGTTTGGTCACAGGTCCAAGAAGGGAGTATACCCACCGTGCAAATATCCATTAATGTACTTTTCCAAGTGCAAATGAGGGAATATAGATGTTAACCCAAGATTGTGGCTGTCGCCGCTAAGTCAAACAGAGATGACAAGCCGAGGATCCTTGCCAAAATGCTAATATCCTTATGTGCCATAAGTCCCAAATTAATGGTCTTTGAGCCGGCGGCGCGCCGGCCACTGCCCACTTTACGTGACATTTGTGGTAGCCTAAGCCGGGCCAACTCGGAGACTGAAGACTCAAAAGGCTTAGGCCGCAACTGCCGACTCATAAAAAGGATAAACGCTCGGCATGAGTCAGCACTCAGTTGGTTCTGGACGACCCGCCGAACCCACCGAACCCACCGAAGCGACGGGTGCTTCCGCGAAATGCGACACCGGAGGCAGGTCCACTCACAAAGGCCACTGGGATGCGACAAAAAGTAATAATGAGATACTGCGCCGAGGTGTTGCAGAATTTCTCGATCTTTCACATATTTTTAAACCCAAATTTGCTCGGTGTCCAAGTCAGCTGGCGAGGCGAACAGCAGCAGGCGGGGATTACAAGGTGTGTCATCTGCCGCACAATAGGAAATATAAATCCTTTCGTTTTATTACAACGACGTAAAAAACTCACAACTAGAAGGGGCACTTCCGGCACGCTACGAAATATTCGAGTATTCCACTGGAGGAGGGCTGCTTGGCACGAGCGGGGGATGCAACCCTTTGGCACGGGCCCGGAATCAGGGATTCCAGCCCGGAGATGGGAAGATCCGATCGCCACACCCTTTGGCACGGGCTCGAGAAGAAATGAGGGGAGCCATAACCCCTTGAATTGAATTGAACTGAATTGAGACCTTGAAATCAGACTGATCAGATGAAAGCAAATCGAATTGAATGAGATTCAATTGGGCTTCCAATGCAGCAGAAGAAATGAAACCATTATAAGAGGATAATTTCAAGGTTTTATTTTTTAACATAGATCTAAGGTGCGGAAGAATTGCATTATTTTATTTATCCTAGCAAATCAGAAGTACTTTAAGCTTATATCAACTTAGCTGCTCTCGCCTGTCGACCAGCTCATTGCCTTCAAAAGTTTTAAATGAACTAATGAACCATGGCCTTAGAAATGATGACTTTTCGCTTTAAATAAAATGCTTGCTTTTTTAATGTTTTAGTAACCTGAAATCAGGGAGCTACAGCTGTAGTGAAAACTCTTAGGGGTCCATTAGCCTAATTTGCCGTTAGCTTGTTTGATTTACCTGGCGTGGGATCGGGATCCCCAAAACTGAAATTCACCTTTTTAAGTGGTGCGCCGGATGCGCATCATCCTCGCTGCATTTTGGCGCTTCCGCTTCTGCGCTTCTGGGTTTCACTTTCCAAATGGTTTTTGCTTTTTTATTAACGAATTTCGTTATGCATCACTTGGGCCCGAGTTTCCCTTTCCGTTTTGCACCTTTTGTTTTCCCAAAACGCGCCACGTGCCACATCCAACATTTGTTGGCACAACTGTCAGTCGGCGAGTTTTCCCCCTCGATCACTTTCCCTGCCGCATTTGCCTTGTAATTCGATCAATTTAATCATTTTTTTCAGGGAGCCCAGGACGGCTGCTGCGGTTTTCATAGGTTTTCTTTTGAGCCGACTTACGCAATGTTTGCCAAGGGGCCCGGACGTCGAGAAAAACCTCCAAACGCGCTTGGAGATTTTTTAAAAATTTGGGTCAATGTTCGTTGTTTATTTCGGCTTGTGCACATTTAACAGTATTTTCCGCTGACTTTTCTTGCTCTTGGACTTGGCCATGCAATGTTGCATTTTTGTGTTTTTTTCGGATTTATTTGCTATTCATAAATTGCCATTGCAATGGCAAAAACTTGTTATTGTTGCTGTTGTTAGTTGCTGCCGCGTTGACAGTTTGAACACTCGTGCTTTTGGCCCAAAACTTGCTCGGCTAGCAAATGCTAAGCGGTAACTTCTCTATTGGCCTGGACAACCCAGCCAAGTCGCTTAAGTCGCTTGACACTCTAGATTGGCCAGAAGGTAACGGTGAGCACTTGGTCCACTTGACCCAAATTGGCCAGAAAATTGGAAGCGGTAATCGCTTCTTGGAAAGCCAAGATGCGAACGGTTACCAATGCTAACATATTTTCTGTATTTAAGTCTTTATTAACGTGTGCCCCTGCGATTTGCTCAATATAATGCAAAACCTAAGTATGTATTTCGAATATACCATTGCAGTTAACCAAGATTCCAAGAATCCTGACCAGAACAACGACTGTTGTGATCCACGTGCCCGCCGGAACCAGTATAAATTACGAAGTGAACTTTTACTCCAGATTTGGTCAACGAATTAAATCAAGTAAACGTGACTGTGATGGAACTTTTCCTCGATTTCCAAACACCTAACAGACAGCACAGCCACCGAATTGGATTGGATTGGATTGGATCGGATTCGGATTCGGATTCGGATTGGCTCCCATTCCCCGCATTTCGCTTGTAATGACTGGCAGATATGTTAAAGAGTCGGCGTGGGGAATTGAATATGCTAAATCCGAGACCTATCGATCGGCTCATAACAGACGCACTGACGCAGTGACGCAGTGACGCAGAATGCAAATCTGGCATCCCTTGGCTACTTCACTCTCGGCCAACGGCAATTGCCGAAACTGAAATCTCAATGAAAGGATATTAGGTAAGTCGCCGCCGGCTGCGCGGGTCGTTCTCCGTTAATGGCACCAATATGAACGGAAAATCTGCGTGCGGTGCATAAGAATCTGCATATGGCATCTATCTCCTATAGTATACGCAGCATATACCGCAGATACTGCATGTACGGACTGTCGATCATTACACAGCGGTCAAACGGTCATTGGCCTGCTTGCGCATCGGCCGCGTATCTTGCAGATACTCCTCCCGAGCGATCGAGCTGCATCTCAGTACCTCGGCATCTCAGTACCTCGGTATCTGGGCATCTCGTTGTGGATGTGGATGCCACTGAATGCTGCTCGCTGGCACGTAAGCAGTCTTGGCATCTTTCACCGTGTGTTGGCGCAGCTTACGCAAAATTATTTATGAAAACAGAGCCCGGCATTAGGAAAAAACACGGGTAAAGAAAGTCCAGCTGGGTCCATCGATTTTGGGTTACCCCATCGATATCAGAACTTTGGATCAATTAAAACTCAATACACTCTTTAAGCTGTTGGCACTTTGCAGAATTTGGGAATTCGTAACATTTTCTCTACCTTTTCTACCCGAACTTTATAATAATAATAATATAATATAATTATAATAGTTTCTAAATAGTTTCAATAATATCCAGTCGAGTCTGCTGCCGAGAAGACAAAAACCCAAATAGTTATGCCTCATTTTAGGGTGGCAAATAAAAAAGCTGCCCATGATTGTGGCTATCACTCAAACGCAGCGCCGCCGGAATGGAAATTTCCGAGTTCTATGGAAATACCGCATCGATTTGCATACGCGACAATCGGCGGTGGACTGCGATTGTAATTGCAATTATCGTGCAGTTTGTTGATAAACGGGTGGTCGAGTGTTCGAGTGTTCGAGTGTATCGGTCATTCGAGTATCTGGGCAGCCGGGTATCCGAGTAACTGGTGGCTGAAAATGGAGATAGAGATGGAGATTGAGACGGAGATTGAGACGGAGATTGAGACGGAGATTGAGACGCAGATGGAGAGTGCGTGCGCGTATCTTATGCATGCTAACTATGAACCTTGTCCGCGCTCTTATTACAGCTCTGTTATTGATTTCATAATTTATCAGTTGCGCCTGTCAATGGCCATTAGATCAATGCATCGCATTGCACGCATAACAAAGTCGCCGCCTCGTGAATGGAAAATCTTTCGGATTACGAAAGCCCGAGGGCGGTAACCTTCTGAAGGGGGTGGCGATAGCAGGAGGGGAAACGTAGGGCGATCAAAACACAAAATAAATGACAAATCAATCTGTTGGCAATCAAAAGCGACTTCCCCATGGCATCGGCGCGATTTTCACCCA